ATCCATGGTCAATGTATTGGAAATAGAGATGACAAGACGACCACTATGCAACTACATGCAATGTAATACCAGTTAAATGACGTGCTATGATGAGATCAATGAACAATATGTGCAAGCAATGAAAAATAACTTGTACCATTTTTTTAATTTAATTTTAAATATTGGGATTAATTAAATCCAAAACAAGCTAATACTGTTAGTACATGTAAAATGGCAAAGCAAGGGTCAACACTAGTCAAATTCTCCAATCAATTACAATGGAAGTCAATTCGGTCACTGGTGTCAATTCGATTAATGGTTTTGATCAAGTGAGGTTTAAGGCTAAAATTATCACAATAACAGCAGCACAAGATTTTAATTGATGCAATTTTAAAAATGAAACAGTAGTATAAACCAATACTAAATAGAGATCAAGGACTCCCTGTTGTTTAGTTTTGATTATTTGTATGCCGCTTGATCTGAATTGCCGACTTATAAGCCCCAACTATGCTTCTGTTCTTCCCTTCATGTCCAATGGTTTTAACCTCTGTTGACTGTAACTTGTGCTGGCTCTGGTGTGGACGTAAAATTAAGTGTGGTGACTATGGCTTTTAGATTGTTGAGCTGGACAAGGAAATATATGAGTGTGGTAACTGTGGTGGAAGTGTATGATCTTGGGTTGGTGGTGGTGGCCTATGGCGATGAAGCGTAGTGCTCTAGATGCCTGGGTACAACAGATAATGAAGTGGTAGCGTAATGGTGATTAAAGGCGATGACAGCAAGAGAGTGGTTGTGAGAGAGGAATCGGGTGAAACTGTGGGGTATTTGATGTTAATGGATTGGTTATAATCGGGCTTGGTCGGATATTTGGGACTGGGCCAGATGGGAAGGGGTTTGGATCCTGTTATAGAGATGGGCCAGCTGGGGTTAGTGTTTGGAGAGTGGGCTTGGGTCGTAAAGAGTAGGCTGGGTTAGTTGGGCTAAATGGGCTTGAATGCTAGGGTTTGGGATTTGTCGACAAAAAAACAAAAACGAGAATTTTTTTTTTAGCATGAACAGTACCCGTGAACAATAACTTTTTTTTTTATAAGAAACTGATCAAAATACTAAACTGAAATTCTGTGTGAACAGTACCCGCGATGAACAGTACCTTTTTTTTTTCCAACTAAGACTGAAAATAGAAGAAGAAGAAGAAAAAACTGCTGCCTTTACCAAAAATTCTTTTAGTTCGTGCTGTTCCAACAGATTTTGGAAAGGAAATATGAATAAATTTTGGATTAAAGAAAAGAAATTACCCATGATTCGGCTCTGATACCAAATTTGATGCAGCACCAATGAGACAGTAAATTGAGAAATAAAACATAGCTATGGGGAGGGAGAATTAGAGAGGAGAAAGAGAAGGGGATTCAACAGAAGAGAAGAAAGAAGGCAAGAAGAGAGAAAACACTATAAGCCACCAAAAATATTCATTCATCATCAACTGAAAATTACAATGCAAAATAGGTTTAAATAGTAAAGCAACCCTAACGAGCTTGGGTCCGAGTCCATACAAGTCCAAAATTAAATAATAGTCCAAGAAAATAAATAAAGCTTAAATAAAATAAGTAAACGTCGTCCGATATCCTCATCAAGACTCCTATTTGAGTCACGCTTCTAACAATCTTCTTGACAGAACCAATGATTTTACTAACCTTTCAATCTACAATTTGTTGCGGGGTTTGGACGAGGAGGTACCAGTATCCTATTTTGGGAAAATGTCTATTGTTTCAATATGTTGTGTATTGGCTTGGAAGAAGTTGAGTATGCTGCTCGGAATCCTATTATTGATGTCATTGATAGTTGTGATATTATCACCACTACTCAAGTTCGCGAGGTATGTATTTGATTTACTCTAATCATTTTGATGAATAAGCCTTTAATTCATTAATATGACAATGTTGAACTTTCGTCTTGTATTATGCTTCAACACATTCCCATTTGAGATGGTGATTTTAGGATTTAGAAAAAAATCAATTGGTTTTTATGACTTCTGGGGCACAAGGTTTTCTGCTACATAAACTCGTACTACGATGCTAACTTAGTTTATTATCCGATGCTTTTAGAGTGGTCCACGCAAATTTATCCGATGCTTTTAGAGTGGTCCACGCAAATTTATACCATGGTTGATCAACAGCCTGCTCTATCATAGTTCCAAAGTCCTAACTAATTATTCTCTTTCTTCAGACCTTTGACCCGGAGACGATGCGATCCGATCAGATGGACTTTCTAGCAAAAGTCGAACTGAAACCGAAGTTGGTCACTCCCACGAATGACTTCACTGGGTCCAAACCAGAAATCACTGAAGGGTTTTGCAGTGACATGCCAACCAGTTTGTCCACGTCACCTTACAATCCCAAAACTCACTGGTCCCAAAATATCCTCACATTTCAAGAACCAATTGCATTGGCATCAATGAAGGTTAATCAGTCGCTGTTGGTACGGACACTTGTCCTGCTATGAGCATGCAATCTCACATCAATATTGTGCGAGCTGTTCAGCATTGCAGCATTGACATTTCGATGGAAGTCTCGGGGATAGGACAAGATGGTCGAAAACGTAATTGGTCGGTACAATTGTTCACTCTCCATTAATGATAATTAACTTATGCCAGTGTTATACTTTTGCAGGCATAGTGCTCCGAAATAAGCATTGAATCATGTCTTCTTTTTTATTTTTTTGGTACGCCCTCAACTCAAAAAGACGTTTGCATTTTTAGGATTTCCATATATGTCCATTTTGCTTCCTTTTTGTCCATTGGATTTGAAATTTTTGGCTTCCTTCTTGTGCTTTGAGTTTGGACGCAGGTATTCGTAATTTTTGGATTCCTTTCGATTGTGCTTTCTTATATTTTATTTAATATTCCAAGTATTTCTGTTTCAACTTCCAAGATGAGGAAAATCCACTAAAAGCAAATTCCACACTCGAAGAGTAAAAAAAAGTTTGATCCTTGGGCAGTCAGAATTATTTTAAGCAGTAAGCTTATAGTTTAATGAATTTAACTTTTTAGCTTCGAAATATGCTATTCGCAAGTTTCTCGAGCACCCGCCTTAACTATGTGTATAAGCTGGTCGATTTGGGTGATCGGAACAATTGCTTACAGATGTTTGTTTAATTCTATGCTTTATGAATGGCAGCTAAAAACAAATGAGATCAATTATTTTATAGATATCACGTTGTCATGGAATCCGAATATTTATTTTAGGATTTGTGACGAAATAACTTATTGTTTTCTCAAAAGAGGCTAAAAAATAACAAACAAGCAGCCCCTATTTGTCAACCTTTAAAAATTTAAATTATTTACTACAGCATCATTCTCCATCACACGAATCATACAACAAAATATTCAACCAAGGCTTTCTTAGAATTATTGAAATCGGCCAGGTTCAGAGGTGGATAATTTCATTTAATACTGACAGTAATCAGACTTTTAAAAGAATGTATCATGGACAGATATATCTATTTGCCCGGTTTATATGCTGATGCATTTAGTCCATTTGTGCATCTAGGATTTTGCAATGTAATATTGACAAATTTTGTAACATTGTAAGATGCGTCTTTACCCTAGTTCAACTCACAGAATCAAAAAAGAGAATCAAAACAAAAATGATTTTAAATTCATGTACGAAAACAAGGAAACTTAGATGTACTCATTTGCTTTTATAATTATTGAAGTCGACCATGCTGAAGGTGGATGATTTCATCGAATACTGACAGTAATCAGACTTCTAAAGGAGTGTATCATGGACATATATATATATATCAATCTACCTGATTTAATGCTAATGCATTTAGTCCATTGTTGCTTGTAAATTTGCTTTATTATATCAAGAAATTTTATAACTTCATGAGATGCATCTCTACCGTAACTCAACTCACAGAATTGAAACAAAAACCAATTATTAACTACGAAGAATTTTTTCTCCAAATGTAGACCATAAAAATCCTTCCATGTTAAACATTTATTTGACATAATGCTTTTATATTCCTGAAGTTTTTAAGGCAACGTCTGATTGCATCATGTGAGAATCTTTGTATGCATAACCAATGGTATCTTATTGAGGATTTTGTTTTTCCGAGTCCATACAAGTCCAAAATTAAATAATAGTCCAAGAAAATAAATAAAGCTTAAATAAAATAAGTAAACGTCGTCCGATATCCTCATCAAGACTCCTATTTGAGTCACGCTTCTAACAATCTTCTTGACAGAACCAATGATTTTACTAACCTTTCAATCTACAATTTGTTGCGGGGTTTGGACGAGGAGGTACCAGTATCCTATTTTGGGAAAATGTCTATTGTTTCAATATGTTGTGTATTGGCTTGGAAGAAGTTGAGTATGCTGCTCGGAATCCTATTAGCTGCTTATTTTTTTTTTTTTTGATAAGTAATATGTGTTGCTTATTTTTTGCCAAGTGATTATATCTTGTTAAGGGATAAAATTTCACATCGATTAAAGATAAAAACATAGATCAACTTACAAGTTCTTGGGCTACTCTTCTTAACAAGGTTGACATTTTAAGATGGAACCCCAAGTCTTAACATGGTATCAGAGCTTATTAAGTTCCAACGAGCAATTCGATCCAATTAAAATTCAATAAATGAATATATGGATTTCAAGATTGGTCTGCTCAAACGAGTCATCATCTTACGGGAGCATGTTAAGAGATAAAATTCCACATCAATAAAAGATAAAAACATATACTAACTTATAAGTTTTTTGGTTACTCCTCTTGATAATGTTGGCCTTTTAAGATAGAAACTTCAAGTCTTAACATATCTTTTCTTCATACTATTACCAGATTTTTGTGTTCTATCATTCTTGTAGAGCCATTCGCCTTATGTTCTGGAAGAGTGATTAAATTGTTCCTCACGTGTGACATGGGATTGATCTAGTGCTCTGTACCCCCTACCCAGCATATCACTATACTCTTTCTGAAATTAAATCAATCTTTTTGCTCATTTATTATCCAAATGAAAGCCAGTCCTGCCGTGATATATGCACTTATATCATAACACTGCCTAGCGTTTGAGTTGCTTCATGTGTTTTTCAAACTCTTGGCTAATTTTATGTAGATTCTGTATAATTTGTTGAATGTTTACCTTTTTGCCTGCCAGCTCACTTTCGGAGTTTGGAGTTTTGGGATTTGAATTAGGTTATTCCATGGAAAACCCCAACTCTTTGGTATTGTGGGAGGCCCAATTTGGTGATTTTGCCAATGGAGCTCAGGTGATATTCGATCAATTTCTCAGCAGTGGGGAGTCAAAATGGTTGCGGCAGACTGGATTAGTTGTTCTTCTACCTCATGGTTATGACGGCCAAGGCCCTGAACACTCGAGTGCACGTTTGGAACGTTTTCTCCAGGTGTTGCCCTTTTTTTCTTGTGCTCATTCTTACACGCATACCTTGGATATGAACTGCATTGCGTGTGGCCTTCCTCCTTGATGTTTTTTTCCTTTCCTTTGGGGGATTATGTTGCTTAGTCTGTCTACTCTTTTCCTTTTAACCTTTTCTGTTCCGTAGGTATATGGATGTGCTTTCCGTGTGTGTCTGTGTGTCTTTTATCCCTGGGAGGAGGGGGGGATTAGTGAAGGAAATGTTAGTGCAACAAAAATTAACAAATCCATTGCTCGACAAATATCAAATTTCGAACCTAAACTAATGAAGTAACCTTATGTCGGAATTGGTATTCTCTTATCTACCTGTATTCCATGTGTTTTATATATCTGCTTTACTACATCCGATCAAGAAGTTCTGGGATGACCTTTAAACATCTTCTAAGGAGGGTTAAATGAAAATCATGTTTATCTCTGTGTTTTTGTTTTTCTTCTGGGTTTCAATTGTTTAAGTTTGGACTTGTACATTTATTAGAATTATACCCATTGTGAGCATCATATTTTCAGCCACATTTTAAGCTTGTTGTTTCTGACTTTATTTCACTTCAATCGGTTGCTCCAAGAAATTGAATTTAACCCATAACATTATAAAACTTGATTTCAGATGAGTGATGACAATCCTTATGTTATCCCAGAGATGGATCCTACCCTTAGGAAACAAATACAGGAGTGCAATTGGCAGGTGGTACCCCTGTTTGATGCCCATTATCTGAAAATGAAAATAGTGGAATAATATTTTTTTAAAAAATAAGTGGTTGAAAAAGAAGGAAAAGTTTTCGATTTACGTATAATATTATTTTATAAAAAATTGTGTGATTGAAAATAGGAGAAAAAAAAATGAAATGTAATGTAGTTTAATTTAATTTAATGAGAATCATACAGGGGCAAAAAGTTATAAATTATGTGGTCAAAGTAGCGGAAAATAAATAATAATTAATAAAGGAAATATGCCGTGAATAATAAATTAAAGTAATTTTTTTCTATAAAATCTCACTTTCCAGAACATGGGAAGAAGAAGAAAGTAGCGGCCTCCCTCACTCCATCCCTCCATTTCTCTGCGATAATAATTTCCATCCAGGGTTTATTCTCTTTCTCTGTCTACCTAAATCGATAAGGTAGTAAATTACATTTACTTTACACCTATGCATTAAAACTGTACTGATTACACATTGGATTTGATTGTTGTGAATGATTTAGTTTCAACACAACCTCGATCGATCTAACATTCCGTTCATTCTCTTCTTCTAGCTCCTTGGAATATATATTTTTCCAAACCTGATGGCAATCTTCAATAGGAACAGCTACAGTGATTTTCTCGACAGTATCTCTCTTGAATTTTTGATGTGGTTGTTTGTGGTTTTTTCATTGTCTCTAGAAATTGCCATTAATAATATGGTATACAACTATAGATTAAAAGTCTAGCTTGATTTTATTTAACTGTGAAGTATATTTATGGGTCTACTTTTGTTTGGATAACTGCAGTTTTAAATATTTGGGCTAATTTATCAGATTTAGTGAGTGCCAATGGCATGGTTTAGAGCTGGTTCTGGTGTCGTAAAGTTGGCTATTAGGCGAACTCTTTCGCAAAGTAGTTCGTATGTGATGAGAACAAAGGTCGCTCGTGCTCAAAACCAACAGTTCCACACTACAGTTTTTAAGTCAAAACCACAGTCTGCACCCATTCCACGTCCCGTTCCGCTCTCCAGGTTGACTGATAGCTTTTTAGATGGGACAAGCAGTGTTTACCTTGAGGAGCTCCAAAGGGCTTGGGAGAAAGATCCCAATAGCGTGGATGAATCGTGGGACAATTTCTTTAGGAACTTTGTTGGCCGGGCCACCACCTCACCTGGAATTTCTGGCCAAACAATCCAAGAGAGCATGCGGCTGTTGTTGCTTGTGAGAGCTTATCAGGTTTATGGTCACATGAAAGCCAAGTTGGACCCGTTAGATTTGGAACATAGGCCAATTCCTGATGATCTAGACCCGGCCCTTTATGGGTTTACAGAAGCTGATCTCGATCGAGAATTCTTCATTGGTGTTTGGAGAATGTCTGGGTTCTTGTCCGAGAATCGTCTGAATGAGATCGACAAATTTATCTCTGTTGATTGATCGTCAAAGGAAAATTGCTTTGATGTAATGTTTAATCCAAATAATTTTAATGCATGTGATTTGTTAATTAGAAGTTTATAATGATTTGAAAGGAACCTGTCAAAGCAAGCACTTATTTATTATTATTATTATTTATTTTTTTGTAAGTATGATTAAAGTAGTAAATTCTCTGAGGCTAAATAAAGCAAAATTTAATTGCTTGTAAACTTGGCCAAACGTGCCACATGTTGGAAGTCCTTGGAGAATTATTTCTCTTAAAACAGACATTAACCAGTGATCTCAAAACAAAATGCAAGCTGCCATTATAAAATAAGTATAATTCTGAAACTGTACAATAAGTAAAATTTCTGCAATTTTAAGTTTTGTATAGACTTGATTATATTACACGTAAATTCTTTTGTTTATGCTTGATAGTAGAATGCATCACACATTGGAACAACCAGTAGGGGTATAAGATGATTCCCTGTTACACTAAATTGTTCACTTAGCATTTCGAGAGAATTTCAATAAATAATAATGTGTGACTAAGTCTCACCTTGAAGCCTCATAGATTTTGTATTCTTCAAAAGCACAAAGGCATTTTTGCCATCAAAACATAGAAATAGGAGTCTAAAAAATGTGTAGAACAAAACTAAATGTTCGAATTCACAGTGTTTTTAATTTGCATATGTAAAGCTTGATGCACTATAGTAACTCGAATAAAATGATCAGGTCCCTAATGAGGGCTATTACTTGAAAATCTAAAGGCTGATGCCATTCAAAAGTTCAATGAATGTCCATTAATCCCTTTGTATAGAAATACAAACTTTGTGAAGAAAGTTCAAATGAAGAACAATGACAAAATCTTCCAATTTGTATAGAATGAAGCTGAAGTGCGCAATGTACCATTCTGCACCAGGTTGGACAGCAAAAATTGTTGAATGTAAACACGAATATCATTATGGAGTTACTAAAGATCCGCAAAACCAAAAGTATCCATCAGATCTGATGCTTTTGGCTGGTGAATTATCTTTTCAAAAATGTGACTGAAACATTTATCATGAATTAGTGCGTCAAAGAGTTTATCTTCAGTGACAGTCTTTGATGTCTCACTATGGCAAGTCAGTCCATATGAAGGAGAAAAAATCAGTTGTGATATCCGATCCTTTTGAGCCTGCGAAGCATATTTTTTGAGCTCCATGGTCTCAGATGTGATAAGGTGATATACGTAAACAGCCTTTTTCTGACCAAGCCTGTATGCCCGGCTTATGGCTTGCCTTTCAACCGCAGGGTTCCAGACACTATCAAGCAATACAACTCTTGAAGCCCCAACCAAGTTTATACCTTCAGAACAAGCTTTTTGTGATGCAAGAAGCACCTTTGCTTCGCTCGAATCATCATTGAAAGCATTGATGGAAGATTGACGCTGAGTCTGATCAAGTTTCCCGTCCATGTAAAGCACTTCTCTTCCTTCCTTCCAAGAAAAATGTGACTGAAGCTGATGCTTGATAAAGACTAAATTATCAATAAACTGACTGAAGACCAACACCCTCTCACCAAGTGCATCAGCTAGCCAGATTAGTTTAGCGACGAACTTCATTTTTACTCCTGCATCAATTTTTGATTCAATCTCCTTTAGCTTCCTCTTATGAGCAGAGAACATTCTTTCTTCAGCAACCAACGAAGGGTGGACAGATATCAAGGACACCACACGAACCATATGAAGAAAGACTGGTTCTTCTGAAGCGATTTCCAGTAAAGACTTTTGCAGTTCAGTTGGCCGCAAGAAAACCAGAGAATCCCTCATTCCAGGAAGACTTTCTTGAAGAATGGTTCCTTTATGTACGTGCACAAGTGGGTCAATCATTTTTCTAAGGTTCATTAATCCACCATCCATAGTGTTACGGATAGACTTTGTCAAACTTGTCCATTTTCCCCGAGCAACGTTTTTGTTTGGCCTACCCCTCCTGCAACTGTGATAAATTCCAGTGATCTGATCAGCAGTGATCTGATCGGCAAACTTTGGATTAACTAGGTACAGTGTATTGTAAAGCTCTTCAAAATTATTCTGGAAAGGAGTACCAGATAATATTATGCGCCGGTTTGTAGCAACATTTGTTAAAGCCTTCCACATAAGACTTTGGTCATTGCGAGGGGTGTGTCCTTCATCAAGCACTAAAATGCCAGGAGATTTAAGCAGTATATTCCTGATTTGATCATGTTGTCCTTTTCCCCGATGCTCTCCAGCAAGCTTCTCAAACAGTGTGTAGCTGACTCCTAGAACACTTATACCCTTCACCCAAGAGTACAACTTAATTAAACGTAAGTAATCTCTGCTCCTCCCATGATAGCCTACTTGGCTAACCATTTTAGCAGAAAAAGCATTTTCCTCCGGAGATAACTCCGCTGTATTCAAATTGTGAAAAGGTATCTTAACACCCCATTTTTTGAATTCATCTTCCCAGGTGAGGAGCATGCCCCGGGGAGCTATAATTACTGGTCGGCATGTTGGATAGAGTTTCATGAATGCTTGGAGGAACACTATAGTGAGTAGCGATTTGCCTGTACCAGGAGCATGTGAAATAATGCATCCTTTTCCATCACCAGAAAGCGGTCTTCTCAGTTTCTTGATGAAGATGTCTCCAGCTATGGATTTCCACATAAATTCAAACCCTTGCCGTTGATGTGGATACAATTTTCTTTTAGCGTCACGAATCAATTCCCACACTGTGTCTCCGTCGTGAGTGGACGAAGAACTGGGATTTCCACAAGCCGGGTCACGAAACTGAAACTGATCGAAGATACAGCTATGTGATTCACCAAAGTCTTTCCTTTCCTGTATCCCAGAAGGTCTCCCAGAAGGTGGCGTATACTGCACAAGATACACTTACATTATGCAAATCAAACTAAGCTGCGAACTGGCCAAAAAAGATGTTAAAAATTGGAGAGGACAGTGTGCATGTTTGTCTGAAGTATAAATAATTTGCTTATTGACAAATAATATTTGAGAGTTAAAGTTGAAATTTTATAAGTTATTATAAAAGTATCCCTACACTACCATCAAATAACCTCTTTTTCACTTAAAATAAGAACAAAGCAACATCTCAAAATGTTTTTAAACAAAAAATTAGCTTCAAAAGTTGATTTCGTAATGCAGATTTAGGTCAAAAAATTGAGAACTCTTAAAACTTTTCAATGCCTGGTACGATCCTTTCAAGCCAGGGTTTACCTCAGCAGCTGTTATATTAAGCATTTAATCTTGGTTACTAGAGATTGCTTTATATGTGTAGCTCTAGTGCTATTAAAACAGTCAATAAGCTAAAAACTCCACAATTTCACGTGAAGAATGATTATCTAACCATAACAATATGTCTAATAAAAAACATCTGCTTATGCTCAAACATACTCCAAGGCTCTGCATTTATATGTGGATTTGCCGATTTCACGAATCAAAAATCAAATTACTTGAGTAATAGCAGATCTATACAACCACAAAATCCTTATATCGTACACTACAATGTCATGGGGCCAAATTCAATACAAATGGCATTGACTGAATAATTTAGCATGTACCCTTAACAACCCTCATATTGAAGTATATTCTAACTTAAAAAATGATGTTGCATAAGAGATCTGAAAGTGGCTAGCACCCAAAAGGCCAGAGAACTTAGTAAATAGATTCACTGATATTAATGATGAGGACCTTTTTATTAAGCTTAGAGGGCCAAGTTCATTACTTACAAAAGGTGGTAAGACATCTTCAATTTCCAGAAGCACAATGGAACAATATTTGCATTTAATTCCTATCTGTTCATCAAGAAGAGGATAGTGCTCCCCTCGACTACAACAGGCTGCCGGAGTGCTGTTAATATCTTTGGGGATGATGTCGTCATTATCACCATCACCAATCTGCAGATCAGCAAGCTAAAATTAGTGCCTATTAGGCTATTAGATAAATTACACGTAAGGTAAACACCAATATCTGAAAAATGAATTTCTGCATTATCCATCTGTCTCCCGACATTTCAGAACAGAAAAAAAGAGATAAAAGAATCCAGAAACAAAAAAGGCCAGCAAGTAATATCACACCCATAATAAAAAAATTCATGCTTAAAACAACAATAATGACATTGATCTTTGCAACCTTCATGGACAATAACAAGTGTTGTAGAGAAAATTCTACAAAACTTAGCTGAAGGGTGTCCGAATACATGATTGCATGTGAATATTTCATGTAATGAGAGAACCTCTGAATATAATCTTGAGGAGCAATCATCCAAAGAGTAACTTGCATCTCCAGCCATATGTCTTATTAATAAACGACAGAATGAAAAAAGAGATAGAAAACATATACTTCATTTTGGTAGATCAAAGACAGAGAAAGAAGATTTGAAAATTCAAAAGAATATTCCAGCACCAAAATCATCAACTATATATTTTGACAATAAATTAAGGATTAGCCTTTTAAAATTTTCAGTTGCTCATATCTTTTGAAATAATCCGCATTTGCTTTGCCTAAAAATGTAATGAATTCCATCACTGTGTTAGGAAATTGAATGTTCATTTAAGGTTCATAAAATCAAAAACACTTCACTGAAAAAGTCCTACTGGATGTTGGTTAGGCTGGGAAGACAGAGTAATGAAGGAAGAAATTTGCTTACACATGACACTTCACAGAAAGCTAATGTACTAAGACAAGGTCTCAGGTTTTATTTATTTTTTATTTTTTTAATTTTTTTTTCAGCAAAATAACTTTAGCATCTAAAAGTGAATAACTTGCACAAGATTCACCACAGAGATCAGGAAAACAAACAATTATCAATGATAATATATATCCCTTCCAATTTCTGCAGAATGGACCAAATAATTGGTTACATTTAGAATACCTACCAAAGTAGTAGTCCATTTCTACATAGAAATATATACACTAAGGTGATAATAGAATTCTGATTAACACCACAGAATAAATTCAGAAAGAAACAAACACAAAAATGGAAAACAAATTTAGTAATACTACGATT